GAGAGAGAGAGAGAGAGAGAGAGAGAGAGAGAGAGAGAGAGAGAGAGAGAGAGAGAGAGAATATCATGTTGCCAGGATAGTCTCAAACTGATATGTAGTAAAGGATGGTCCTTCTGCTTCCACTTCCTGCATGCTGAATTTGCAGACGTATGCTACTATATATGTGTATGTACTGCCAGGGATTGAACCCAGGGCTTCACGCGTGCTCTGTGAGTACTCTACCCTCTGAGCTATATTCCTAGTGCCACAGGGGATGATCTTAAACTCCTGGTCTACTGCCTCTCCCACCTATGTGCTGGGATTCCAGGAGCAGACCATCTTGCTCAGTTCAGGAAGGGCTGGTCCTTGTGCTTGTTTGGTGAACACACCCCTAACTAAGCTACAACCCTAACTTCATTCTCCTTTCAAAGGAAGAAGCACTCAGCTCCGCTAGGACAGGCTAGCAATTTTACGCATTCCACAGAGGTTTATGGGATGTCTAGCATGTGGTCAAGGCTGCTCCAGGAAGTATGGATACAGGCTAACAGAGTGAAGGTGAGGGACCTTCTCAGGAGTCCACTGACAGAAACAATACGCATCACACCATGATGGAGATGACAAGGGCAGGAAGCCAGTGCAGATCCCGGTGTGCTGAAGAGGGGCCAACTGTAGCAGTTGCTCAAGGAAGAGAACAGAAGGCTGTCCATTGCTACTCAGACTGGAAGGAGAATCCAAACCCAGAGACCTGGTATCTACTGTCTATGCTCTTATGTAGTCCGTAACATACCCTCCCGGGACCAAACCTCACCCTGTCCTAAGCTTAACCTGATCCTGCCTCAGCCCCTTGCCTAATCTCATCTCTTGCTGTCCGTGCTCATCCCGTTTCTCTACCATCAGCAGACCCACGCCCTGTAATTCACACATGTAATTCTACTCCCCAGCTCTAGGCTCCAGCATGTCAGCCCTGCTCCCAGCTCCCAGCCCAGAGGGTGTCCTCCAGCCCCAACTGCCCTTTGAGGAAGTCCTTCTGACAAAGGCCCAGAGGAGCCCGCCCTGTAAGAAAAACCTCATTGTCCACCAAACAGTGCGCACATTTTGTTCTTATTTCTCAAGGGACTTTTGAGCGGGACTCCAGGCTGGGAGAAGGAGCCTACTACTTCCTACACTCAGCACCGAAAAGGCTGCAAGCCAAGAGCAAAAGGTCAAGGCGCCTTCTAGGAGCCGGATCTCAGAGGCCAGGGCAGAGCTGGCCTTCTCCACAGGAAAACAGTCTTCTCTTATCGGTAGCAGGAGAGCTTGGCTGTGTGCAGGACAGCAGAGGAAAGCTCTCCATCCCACGGGGATTCTATCATCCAGCCTCCTGTCTGTCTGTCGGCCCATCTCTCTATCTTCCACGGATCCATAGGAGATGGACTTCGCAGAGGCTTCGCTGAGTGGGAGAGCATCACTTCCTACTAAGTGTGGCAGTTTGATATGGACCAGAATGGGGATAGCTTTAGGTACATCTATAAAGCTGGTGCCGGGGCCTCAGATGCTAAGCATGGGCACAGACAGGTCTCAGCAGCACCAATATATATTTTTAGAAGGGGGGGGGGAGAAGCAAGCACACATATGAGTGCATAGACTCGATGGCATACCTGTGGAGGTTAAAGGACAACTTTTGGGAGTCAGTTCTCTCCTTCCATCTTGTAGAGGTAGAGTCCTATTTACTGTACACAGCACGTTGTATATTCCAAGCTTGCCGGCCCACAAGTTTCCCAGTAATTCTCCCATTTCTACTTTCCACTTTGCCACAAGAGTGCTGGTGGCTTTCAGCTACCTGTGACTCCAGATCCAGGGGAATCCAACCATCCTCTTCTGGCATCTGCAGGTACCTGCACTCATGTGTATACATATACATACATACATACATACATACATACATACACACACATATACACACACACACACACACCACCACACCACACACGAACATGTGCGTGCACACACAATACAAGTAGATAATAAATCTTTACAAAGTTATAACCCTCGTGGTGATCCCGGATGACCTCTAGCAAGGCGGGTCAAAGGGCCACTAATTGGCCTCCTTGTCTTGCAGCAAGACAAAGAGTGGTTCTCCTTGCTAAACAAAAGCTTAACTGGGCGTGGCTGGGAGGAGCCTAGATTTGCTCTTTGATGTGCTAAGACTCCTACCACCCAGCTTTGGCTTCTAAATATAGTCTGAGGTCTTAAGTTGGTCTTTGGGGCTGGACTGCTGCGTTGGCCTCCCTCTTAGAAAGTGCATTCTCCT